GGGCTTGTTTTTCCTATACACATGATTCCTCTCACAAATATGGCAAATTGGGCCCGAGGGGAAAGAAAAGTATTTTTATAAGATACTCTGAAACCTCAAAAGGTTATGTGTTTATAGGTCAGCAAGACAGTGGGAGTGTAACTGAGTTTGAATCACGGGATGTCACGTTCTTAGAGGATGAGTTCCCTAAGAAGGGAGAGGTAGGTCAAGACCTAACCTTATTTGAGATAATGGATCAAGAAGTACAAGGATCACTTAATCCGAGTGGGAGAATTTTAGCAGATGATAAATTAGTTTCTCATCAACGACCTCATTCATCATCAGATGCGAATGAGAGTAATCCTTTTACTTTTAGTGGAAGTGACCAAATGGATCTTGTTCCAAGTGGGAGCGAGATGGTCACAGATCTTGTTCCAAGTGGGAGCAAGATGAATGATCTTGATCCGAGTGGGATTAATTTTTTTATCCAAATGGGAACAATGATGAATCACAAGTAAGACGTGGTTCTCATAAAAAGATTCCCTGCTGACAATTTGATGTTGAAGGCGAAGAACTATTTATGATGCTCCTACAAGAAGAAAACGAGCCTAAAAATATAAAAGAGGCTCTCTCATGCCCTTCTAAGGATAAATGGACAAAAGTAAAGGAAGATAAATTGGAGTCTGTGAGAGTTAACAAAGTTTGGGAACTAGTTGACCTCCCTGAAGGACACAAAGCAATTGGGAGCAAATGGATTCTCAAAATTACGCTCAAGGTTGATGGCACAGTTGAGAAATATAAGGCTCGACTGGTGGAGAAAGGGTATACACAACAGAACGGAATAGACTACGAAGAGACTTTCTTGCCTGCTATATGATTTTCCTCGGTTCGCCTGGTTCTAGCTATTGTTGCAAGCCTGGATATTGAATTACATAAGATGGATGTAAAGGTTGCCTTTCTCAATGGAGAACTAGATGAAGAAATCTATATAGAACAACCTGAGTGTTTCATTGAAAAAGGTCACGAACAAAAGGTTTGTATACTTTTGAAGTCTATTTATGCCCTCAAACAATCTTCAAGGCAGTGGTATATACGCTTTCAAAATGTTCTTGTTTCCAATGGTTTTATCATGATGGATGAAGACCATTGGGTTTATACCAAGAGATCAAGAAACAAGCTTGTGATTTTAACATTGTATGTAGATGACATACTTATAGCTGGAAATGATAAGGAGTTTATAACCGAGATAAAGTCATGGTTATCATTCCAATTTGAGATAAAAGATATGGGTGAAGCTGCATATATTCTTGGAGTTAAGATTTCAAGAGATCGTCCAAATAAACTATTGTATCTCTCACAAGAGAATTACATTAGAAAAGTTCTTGAACGATTTAATATGCAAAATAGTAGCCCAGTTGAAACTCCTATCAGTAAAGGCCATACCTTAGGAAGTCAGATGTGTCCTAAGGCTCCTGAAGAGACAAAAAGAATGAGTCGAGTTCCTTATAGGAGCGCAGTCGGAAGTCTAATGTATGCTATGGTGTGCACTAGACCTAATATCTGTCAAGCAATTGGCTTGGTAAGTAGATATCAAACACACTCAGGTTTAGCACATTGGCAAGCAGTAAAGAGGATCATGAGATATCTGAAGGGAACTATTGATTATGCCCTTTGTTATCAAGGCGACAAGGATCTGCGATTAGTTGGATACAGTGATGCTGATCATGGAGGATATCTAGATGAGAGGAAATCTACCTCGGGATATATTTTTCTATTCAGTGATGGCGCCATATCATGGAGTAGTAAGAAACAATCATGTGTATCACTATCTACGATGGAAGCCAAATACGTGGCTCTCATATCAGCAACACAAGGAGCCGTTTGGTTGAAAAAGTTCTTGGATTACTTGTTGGATATTGCTGAAAATACTGAACCAGTATTAGTCTACTGTGACAGTGAGGCTGCAATATCCTCCACCAAGTACCTAAAGTTTTATTGTAAAACCAAACATATAGATATCAAGTATAACTATACGAGAGACATGGTTAGACACAAGGCAGTGAATGTGAAGTATGTGTCTACAAAAGATATGTTAGCAGATCCATTGACCAAGCCTTTGTCTAGAGATGCATTTGTGAGACACACTAGGTCTCAAGGCTTGCGTAAACTCTGAGATACTTTATTTTGCTATTTATTTTCCCGAGTTCACAAACTGATGTTCTTTGATTATCAATAAAGTTGATTTATATACATACATATTTTAATCGTTGAATGTTATGTGCATTCTTTATTTTTTTGATAAGTATGTCGGGTAACAAGAGGTTGGCCTTCTCACACAGGCAACCGTCTCCTTATCTTAGTGATGTGAGGAGATGAGACATGATTTTAAGCAAAATTATCATAAGGATAATTTGAGAGTTATTCGATTAAAATTAGAATGTCGCTTAAACAATGACATAAGGTCATTAGGGTGAAAAACGTTCACCTAGTTTACTTTGTGAGCCAGATGTGAGTTAAAATGATATTGTAGATCAAAGAACTCAAATTTAGATACTTATGTTGTCTAAATATCATCTGTACAACATTCTTTATGAGAAAAAAACATACGCTCCTTGGGAAAAGGTAGAAAATGTTGTAGCATATGTTTCATACCATGTGTGCTAATGTCGACCAATTGGGTTAACATAAGTCCATTCTCAACTTATTGTTGTGTGAGACCCAGAGCTTTATGATAGCTCAAGATTTTGTACCCTTAGAGACTTTGATCAGATAGTTGAGACTTAGTGTGATGTTATCTATCTTAATGTGTTTCCAAAAGATCATGAACACAGATTCGATCTAGCGGAGCATAACTAGAAAAACAGTCATACTAATGTTACGGGAATCGTGATAAGAGGAAGATCATTGATGGAATCTCATTTATTTGTATTCACTAGTGCACCAATTATAACTTATGAGTTATGATTGTGAATACAAGAAATAATGATATATGAGATTTTGAGACTATATCAAATGTGATTTACATGATCTAGGGTACTGCATACTTTATGATCTACTTATAGGTTTGAGCTCGACGAGAGGCTATATACTCCTAACATACATGTATAGCACTTAGCTCTCACAGTATGTTGGTCGCACGGTCTACTTCCCTGTATGAATGATTGAGGAGATGAGTTGAGAATATATTTCTCAGGCTAGATGAGCACTCCCATTATGTGTGAGCGGGAGATGTAGGAAATATTGAGTCCACCCATAAGGGGTGCTCTAAGGCCCAATAGGGTTATTAGTTAGCCTTAATATTCCCTATATAAGTACACTTAGTGTGTATACTAAAACATGACACTGAGTAGTATTTTTCCTACGTTGTCTCTATCTCACAATCAAACTAGGTTTAGACTGTGGAATTAGGGGTTGATCCAATACACCGTGAAAAACCACCGCCGACCAATAATTCCAGCCGCAGTTCAATCCGTTTTCGCTTCCACTTCACAAAGAACAAGTAAGTTCTCATTTTACAATTTACGCACTATCTAATGTGTTTAGATTATCGCGTGTTCCTTTATGTACAAAATGCATGCATTAAATTCTGTTACGTAATATGTAACCCAGACATGAGATTTCCATAAGGGAAAAAAAATAGTTTTGTAACACCAATTATCTGTATTCACAACAAAATAATGAATACACCAAAAGGAAATGTCGTAAAAATAGCACGGTATAGCCAGTTTTCGGACTGGTCATTCAAAAATAGCCAGTGTTTACGAAATTAATGAAAAATAGCCATTATTTTGCTGCAACAGAGACCGGTCCAACATAATATATTGGAGTTCGGTGCACCTGTGTATGAACTCCAGCATATTATGCTGGACCGGTATATTTTCTGACTCCAGTATAATATACTGGAGACTGGAGCATTTGTGCTCCAAACTCTAGTATACTATACTGGACAATTATACTTGCTGGAACTCTAGTATATTATGTTGGAGTTCTAGTATACTTATGCTGGAACTCCATCATATTATGTTGGAGTTCCAGAATACTTATCCTAAAACTTCAGTATAATATGTTGTAGTTCAAACATACTTATGCTGGAACTCCAGTATAATATACTGGCGTATTTTTCGGGTTTTGAACAGTGTTTTCGCTCAAATTTATCTTTACATGAAAAATGACTAAATTTCGATTACTTTTGAAACTGAGCTATTTTTGAACGACCAGTTGTAAATCTGGCTATTTTTTAATTTCTCCCTTTGTCCATCAGCTTCAAAGGAAGCGTAATTGAGAATTATCCATTTCAAAGTATCAAAATTTAAAACTGGTTTCGAGGAAAATCAGCATTCAATTCCCGGGCTATAATCAATGAACTGTGGCATCCAAAAGATTTGAGTATAAAGCAGAGAAAAAGGCTTTGAGGTCAGGTTGGGAAGGAATGTATCTATGAACCAATTTCATTTTTATTAGAAAACGAGGAAATTCCCTTTTAGTGGCAATTATTTGAATTAATTGCACCCGTAGCCAGTTTTCACATCGCCATTTAAGCTACATTCAATGTTTTCAAATTATCTAACTGGTAGCCAGTGGTTGGCAAACTTCAGGCAAAAGCCTATTTTTTATCTGCCACTTCACCCTCAAACAATCCGACCAATCCTTTGTCTTACTCACCATATGCTTTTGCTTGTGTATTAGAGTTGTATCTGTCAAGAGCTAGACCTATAGCAGCTGTATTGACTAATGCTGGTAAAATCGCCATATTTGTTTTTCTTGGTTTACCAAGAGAAATACAAAAGAAACGGAAAGAAGTCTCAATCTGTGTCATAGTACATCTGCACACGGTTAAGCTGAAGCGTTGGCTAGCTTGCGTTCAAGCAGTAAGACACATTAAAAATTCACCGTTAAAGATTTTTTAGAAAAACATGACCATGACAAAATGAGATTAAATTTGAAACTTATGTTTCTATTTGAGTTCTTTTAGAATAGATTTGGGCTGGATTGTTGAAAATCGAGAAACATATTACTGCTGCTAGCAAAAATTTGCACACTTAAACTTCATGCACAAGTGCTTGAAATAAAATCATGTATGTGAACTCCCAACTTCAAATAAAATTTGTAACTTTGCGGATCTTTGCAACTTCAATCGTGTATGTCAAAAATTATTTCTGAAGGGGCTAGACTTGCTAAAATTAATGAACTTAAGCCATGATTAAATAGGGACCCCGAAATTGGCTGTCTGTGCACTTCACCCCAATTTTTTTCCTCTGCGAGTCCTGTTAAGAAGCCTCAGTTAACTAGAGGTAATTTGCATGAATAAAACATCACATTATATAGCTATCAACATTATGTCTTCTGCAATTGTTCCATCTTCTATTGATAGTTCACCAATACATGTTCCTCTTTTGTGTTCGACATCCTAGGTTTATGCCTTGTATCTGATTAGCCCTTTAAGTTTACTGTACAGACTTCATACGTGAGATTAACCTAAGATAATGTTGAACCTGGATGGCCGTCATCAGTACATTTAATAGGCCTTCGAACATCATCTAACAGTAAGCTGTGTGTTCGGCCATAAAATATGTATATGATAACTCCCACAGCCAGCCATATTAAAACGCGTACCCACGTTTCAGCTCTGCAAGTTGTCACTGTTAGTATGTGGCATGCATATTTGTAAAACTAACAATTTCCTAATGCAAGAAAAGGAATATGACTAGCCCAATATTAACTAGCAAGTATGTAATATAAGAGCAGTGGCTACTGGTAGGAAAGGCACAAACGGGCATATGAAACCTGGGGAAAAAAACAGATTAGAAATACTTCAGTGACATTGTGATGCCTCTTTAGGACAACAACCAGAAATTAGCTAATCAGTGGAGTAGAAACTAGAAAAGCATGAAAAAAGAATTCATGTCCAAATTCTTTAACATGCTTCCTCTCTATAGTCGTAGTGCTTGTCTAACATGAAGCAAGGGTTATGCTTCGAGGTTTTGCAAAAGAGTTCTAAAATTGTGCGTGCATATGAAAAATATGAAACATTTAAAAGTGGAGCTATTTTAGCAATAGAATTGACTTGAACCAAGTTGAAAACTTCTTTCCAGCAGGATTCACTGCAACGGATCATATTCTCTTTTCTTAAGTACTGCAGTGGATCATATTTCAGTCTACGAACAAGATCTAATATCCAAGGTTATCTAGGAAATCAATGCTATTGGGGCTAAGGGTAAAAAAGGTGAGGCATCGGGTGAGGAAAATATCAATACTTGTAAATAAGGAACAGTAATACTGTGATGAATGAACAAAATTTACAGACATCCTGTGAAGAACTTATTTGGCTAGTGCTAGAAGTGCATAGTAGTATGTAGAATGCATACAAACTTCAAATCAATAGCAAGAGAAATAAGTGTAATGAAAGTGTTAAATTCCAAGAATAAAAATTATTTTACATGATAACGTTCCATATCATAAAAACCTTATATTATCTAGGACATCTGAAGTCTACTCTTCAGTAGACAACAGATAATTTCTAACTAAAAGAATTAAGCTAGTTCATCCAGTAAGCCAGTGACATGTAACGATGACCGCAAAAATTACAGAATTTTAGATATACCTCCTGATTTCGTGAAACTCTCGTTTGTGTCAGCTTGATCGACAGAGCTTAGCACAGCCAAAAAGCAAATTACAAGCATACCAGCAACTCCACTCAAGATAAAGCGCAGAATGCTGACAAAATAACCAAGTTATAGAGTTAAAAATACCAGACATTCTTTTGGCAAAAACTGAAGAGGTGAAAAGGAGAGAACACTATGCAACAATAACACTAAATTGCATGATGAATAAACTCGAGGAAAAATATAATGCATCAATCAGAAATCAACTCTTGAGCTACACTACAGCTTCTTTTCAGCCCAATATAGGCAATAGTGTTGCAATACCCCGTAATCCGAGCATCTCTTAGCTATGATTAAAGCATAAAGCATACTTGTAACAGTCATGTGGTGGTGTTATAATGTTGCTTTAGTGCGTTAACCACCCCAAATATCCATTCAAATTTTTCTTTTTTCTCTTTAATATTTTGAGAGAGACAGACCCGGGATATCCATTGTCCTTGCTAGATTGCTGAGAATAAGCATTATAATTGTTTATTTTAGGGTAATAATACCCAGCAACTTGAGGACTTCAAGGTAAGTAATGACCCTACACATAACCCTAGTCTTCCATAACTTGCATAAGCATGAGATCTAAAGCATTATTGTCAAAGTATTGTGTTTGAAAAGCATGTTGGGACAAATATAGCAATATGACATATGTTTTGATAAATGTTTATGATGTTACTTGAGATTTATTTGATGATTTCAAGATGTGCATTTGAGCCATGACATATGCCTGTATGTTATTACAAGAGATATTTATGTTAGAACAGTTGGTACAAGTTAGCGACTTTTACTTGAGTAATAACTAATAATAAGTATGCGTATAAGTATGACTCAAGTTCTATTTTGTTATAGAATGACAATAATAAGAATGTTTCCAGATAGGCTTTGGGAGGAAATCGAGAAACTAAGAGATAGCAGACGCAAAGAAGAGGAAGATTGTATATTAGTCTGACATTTTTTATACATCACAAATGTGAGGATCACATACTAGAAAACTGAAGTCTGGATAGACTTTTAGTTGACACAGCAGCTACCACCACAAGAATTCCAAAACATACCATGGTAATACTCCAAACAGCGATTTTCCTTCTCCTGAGTTTATCTTGAAAAATATATAAAATTATGCACCAGTAAAAAAAATTACTGAATCAAGAGATTCAAAGAAACAATATTGTACAGTGGCTTCAATTATGGTATGAAGTTCATAGAGAGACTGTAACTCTGCAGAAAATTTGTCTGAAAAGAATTTGTTCAAAATTAATAATTTGGATAAGAACCAAAATGCCCTGTGTTATGAGCAGGAAAAGCATAGGAAACCATCCATCAAGTTATCACGTGGACAATTTGACACTTACTGAACAGAAGATGCTTCTAAAATGATGACTTACCTCAAAAGATTCCAGGCAGCTCATCTCTCTCTCTTTATATATACTCCCTCCGTTTCAATTTATATGAACCCATTTGACTGAGCATGGAGTTTAAGAAAGAGAGAGGACTTTTGAACTTGTGGTGTAAAATGAGGCACATATATTTTGTATAGCAATAAATTATTGTATAAAAGAAAATTCTTTTCACGTAAGAAAAGAGGTCATTCTTTTTGGCACGGACTAAAAAGGAAATAAGTTCACGTGAATTGAAACGGAGGAAGTATGTATGTATGTATATATATATATATATATATATATATATATAGGGTTTTGCTAACCTACTACACAGTTGTAGTAGGTTAGCATTGCATACACATTTGACTTCTCCAAAATACCCCTAACAATACACTCACCACAATAAACATAAGGACTTTTTGGTCTTTAATCCAAATCCCTAATTCCATCTCCATTCTCATCCCTTTCGGTTTCTCTTTCATTTTGCTCCCCGATCTATACTCCAACAAACTCAATCCTAAATTTCTGCTCCTTTCTCCTTCGCAGTCTTCTGGATACAATTCCACACAACATTCCAAGAACACAAAAAATATAGACAACCAAAAGAGAGGTCAAAAGTTGATGAGTAAGAAATCAAATCAAATTTTGATTGACAAATGAATTTTGGCAAAAAATTTCGATAAATTACAGAGTCCTAAATAGTGCATCGTCATAAGAAGAGATCTCTAACCTTCACTGCCTTCTTCCTCCGTTTTCTTATAAGGAGTTACGTCAACGGAGAAGAACAAAATGTTGAATTCTTTTTTTGATAGAATCAAACAGTAATTGCGGGTATTATCATTACAATAAAAAACCAAAAAAAAGTTATGTACACCATAATCTCTAAGAAGTTATGGTTGCAGATGAGTGCTCCCTATTGCTCGTCAGAAGTGTTGCAGAGATAGGTTGGAGATGAATGTCTTGGGAGAAAAATGCAAGAGAAGAATATTGGGATTAAAGACCAAAAAGCCCTTATATTTAATGTGGTAGCATGTATAGTGTGAGAAGGCACGGGAGAAAATATGATATGTTGATATTGTGTGTTCAATACAATACAAGAGGTCCTTATTTATAGCTATACTATACAAGGACGTACTACTCCTATTCCAATGTGGGACAAGACTACATTATGTACATATCTAACACTCCCCCTCAAACCGGTGCATACACATCATATGTACCGAGCTTGTTACACATGTAACTAATACGAGAACCAGTAAGAGACTTAGTGAAAATATCTGCTAGTTGATCATTCGACTTTACAAACTTTGTAACAATATCTCCTGAAAGTATTTTTTCTCTGACAAAGTGACAGTCGATCTCAATGTGTTTAGTCCTCTCATGGAACACCGGATTTGACGCAATATGAAGAGCAGCTTGGTTATCACACACTAGTTCCATCCTGCTGATTTCTCCGAACTTTAACTCCTTGAGCAACTGCTTGACCCAAACTAACTCACACGTTGCCATAGCCATGGCCCGATATTCCGCTTCGGCGCTAGATCGAGCAACTACATTTTGTTTCTTGCTCTTCCACGAGACCAAATTACCTCCTACTAGAACACAATATCCAGATGTAGATCGTCTATCAGAAGGTGATCTTGCCCAATTAGCATATGTGTACCCAACAATCTGCTCGTGACCTCGATCCTCGAATAGTAATCCTTTGCCTGGAGCTGACTTTATATACCGAAGAATACGAACAACTGCATCCCAGTGACTATCACAGGGAGAATCCATAAACTGACTTACAACACTCACCGAAAAAGAAATGTCAGGTCTACTAAGGTCTACCCAGATCCTTAGTTTGGAAGTGCTGAAAGAGATGTTGCTTCAGATTAGTAATACCATCCTGATCGTTGCCAGTAATAACATAAACCACCAGATAAATACACAAATTCGGAGCAGAATGCTGATAAAACACAGAGTGATCAGCCTCACTACGAGTGATGCCGAACTCCTGAATAATTGTGCTGAACTTACCAAACCAGGCTCGAGAGGACTGTTTCAAACCATATAGTGACCTGCGCAATCTGCATACACAACCACTAAACTCCCCCTAAGTAACAAAACCAGGTGGTTGCTCCATATAAACTTCCTCGTCAAGATCACCGTGGAGAAAAACATTCTTAATGTCTAACTGATAAAGAAGCCAATGACGTACAGCAGCCATAGACAAAAAAAGACGAACAGATGCTACTTTAGCCACGGGAGAGAAAGTATCACTATAATCAAGC